CACACACACACACACACAAAACAAGGTCCAGATGGTCTTGAAGAAGCCTTGCACTCTTGTTAGTCATTAAAACACACACACACACACAGTCGTTCTTCTTACTGTCAAGAATCTCCCTGACTCTGAAATTAAAGTGTGTAACAAAGAGCGGCTGAGAGATAGTCAAAAGGGTTCTCACGTTTTGAGTATTGCGTCATAGACTGAAGTTTTCCTAGACAAGCAACAGAGTAGTTGAAAGGAGATAGCCTTCTTGCTTCCACTGAACGAGAGACAGGGGACACTTCAGTGACAAGAGTGGCCATTCATGCTGAGGTGATAGCCAAAAAAGTAGCAGAGACATTCAAACAGTAGCAATTAAGATAGCGTAGTCTACAATGAAGAGATAACACGTGGAGCAGTCGAAACAGAACAGAGAAAATGATGAAAAATCTTGTACTTAAAATGTTCTTTCATTGATTCACAGTCATATCGTTTGTGATTATTCATGCATGTTCTGCTTTTTAGCATTTCTGATCTGAAGGAAGCTCTGCTATCAAATGTATGCCATTCATTTGTTTAAACATTGTGCAGTCGTAATTAGACCAATCATGTGTTTCCAGTAATCTTTTGATCTTTTGATATGCACATTCATTTTCTGTGTGTTTGTTTGTGTGTCCTTTTGTTTCCAAGGACGAGGAGATATCCAGCCCCAGTTGGACAGCGCCATGCAGGATGTCAGTGATAAATACATTCTGCTGGAGGAGACGGAGAAACAGGCCCTGAGGAAGGCGCTTATAGAGGAGAGGCAGAGATTCTGCTGTTTCGTCGCCATGCTCCGGCCTGTCGTGGTGAGCACAGTGAGGGAGAGAGAGAGAGAAATGAGCTGTCAGAAAGTCATCTTACTCCACAGTGTAGTTGTTTTTTGTTTTAATGCCACAGACTGAAAATATGCTTATTCATGCTACACTTCTCTTGTTCAAAACTCTTAAACACATTCTAACATCCAAAAAACTCTGGTCTCTGTTAATTATTTTAGGATGAGGAAATTTCTATGTTGGGAGAGGTCACCCATCTCCAGGCCATCTCTGATGACCTCAAAGCCCTGACCTCTGACCCACACAAGCTTCCGCCTGCCAGTGAACAGGTGAGAGGAAACGCTCTGTGAACACACAAACTAAACAAGACACTTTATGATGCCCTACATCCTCTTTTTGTGTTTATTTAAAAGGCTTTGCTTAATGCCTCTTAACGTCACAAGTACAAATATAAAGTATGACTTATATTCTCCTCCCTCTCAGGTGATCATGGATCTGAAGGGCTCAGACTATGGTTGGTCGTATCAAACGCCACCCTCTTCCCCCAGCACCACCATGTCCAGGAAGTCTAGCATGTGCAGGTAGGTTCCTCCAGCCAATAACCAGACTCAGCCATGAATTAGTGAAACAGAGAGGATACACATTTTCCTATTGTACCCATAAAAATAACTATAAAATGTGTTTGTGATGCTGGAGATTATTCAAGGGTTAGATTCTTACAAGTGAGGAACGAGGAGTTCAAACAGCAATGTCTTTTTTGTAGTTAGAGGTTTTATAGCTTATTCATAACTTATTATAATAGCATGAGAATTGTACACGCTACATCTACAAAACATGCAAATCTCTCATTTTTCCCCAGTTGATTATTATGAAACTTCTTTATGAGACAGTTTATAACAGTGTAGAGGGGTGTGGAACAAGGACATAGAGGAAAACTCTTAATTATGTTGCCCAATCTATGTCTGCCACCAAGTGGTCAGTATGAGATGCAGTAGTCCTTTATCCTAGTATGCATCTTAGCTGCTTGTATTTTTTCTTCTCCTCTTTCATACTGATAGTTTTTAGTTTATTCTGCAGAGATACAGTTAAAGTAGACATTTTATTGGAGAAAAGACACACAGGGATATTTGGATGAAGTGTTAAAGAATTGGTTCTTGTTTTTGTCTGTTCACACATTGTCCTACTTTCACTGCTTCTTGTTTGCATCCCAATGACTGGAGGTAGAAACTGTAAATCTGGGTTTTGCATTGCTTTGCATTTGTCCTGAGAAAAATCACCACCAATTTAGGGGTTTTGGGACGTCTGTGTTTGAATCAAAACTGTAAAATAACCTGTTATCTCATGATGTCTGAAGTTCTTCTTGCCTGGAAAACATTTCAAACCCAGTCTGGAGGAACAATATACTTTTTGTGTCTCAATCATAATTATAGTGATTTATTCACAGATATACCATTGTCTTCTTTCACTGCAAATCTTTGGGTTAACATGCTTCAAAAGAATCACAAACGAAATTCATAAATCATTCCAAGAAAGTCATGTTTGCATTTTATAGCTTTTACCTATTTTGTGACCTGCCTAACACACACATTTATGTGTTTGTTTGTGCATGATAGATTAGCATTGTTAGCAGCTTAAACTATATACATATTACTTTTGCCTGGTCCAGTTGCACTTTTTTTTCATAATTGTACATGATTTAGTACAATCATGACCAAGTAAATGCTATTTTAGATCTTGCCATTTTTATATTTGCTTCAGATGTTAAATTTATTGCTGCTCAATTCCCAGTATTTTCTCCCAGTGTTGAAATAGTTTTTCCCTTTTTGTGTAAATATTTTCGTAGGGCTGACTGCGAGGCCTGAAATCCTTTGATTTCCTGCCTGTAATTATTCTCATTATGATTTTGCGCCTCATGTTGGTTTGTGTTGTTGTTTTGACTGGATTGGCCTCAGTCACTGCTTGCTGCATCTTGGTGTGGTGTGTTAATTGTTTTCCCACCCTGTCTCCTCCACATCCCCCCCTCCAATCCTCTGCCTTCATTCCCCCTCTGTTATTCTTTTTATCTCTCTTTTACCCAACTTTCTTTCTTCTATCCATGTCTTTGGGTGCACTTGATTCTCTTTACCCCGCCTGTCACTGCCAACCTCTCCTCCCCCTCACCCCCTTCCCCTTTCACAGTAGTCTGAACAGCGTTAACAGTAGTGACTCCAGGGGATCCAGTGGCTCCCACTCTCATTCTCCTTCCTCCTCTTCTTCCTCCTCTTCCTCACACCAACTCTTCCACCACCATCACCCCCGACATCGATACCGTAGCTCCACGCTGCCGCAGCAGGCCCCGGCTCGGCTCTCGAGCATCTCCTCCCACGACTCTGGTTTCATTTCCTCATCACAAGACCAATACATGTCGTCCAAATCATCCTCGCCTATGCCAGCTGAAACAAAGGTAAGGAAAAAAACATCTTAACTACCCACACGTAACCACAGCTTTGTGTCCAAGTATGTTCATATGGTTGAGACAAGACTATAAAAACCACATACGTTCTATGATTTACAAGTTATTGTAGTCTGAATGAAAACCCCAAATCTGCAATCCACACAAGTCCTTTCTCACACATCTCCACAGCCACTGTGAGAGACAGTTAGCTGGCAGCAGTAAGTGTATGTGATCATGGTGAAGTCATTTCACTGCTATTATTATAGCATAAATGCACAGGAAATTAGTCTGCCTCCACTCTGGCCCAGGGCAAAACAGGTCAGCCCCATCCTGCTATTAAAGAGTTGACTGCTGTGACAGACTGTGGTTGGATTCAAGTTGCAGAGGCCTGAGCGTACTGCATGTTGTATTTTCATTAAAGGCCTCACAGTGAAATGACATGTTACAGTGACAACAGTATGTATTATAGACACTGAAAGCCTGTCTCTATCAGCAGGTCCCATTCTGCCACTTTTTATCCAACCAATCTGACACAGGGTCGCAGATAATAATCAGTGATGTATTCCAGCGGATTGTCTGGTGGGGTTTGTGGCTTGACATCAACCATGAGAGCGGCTGTTTTGTTTGCACGCCAGCGATCAGAGTTCCCCTGACCAGAACGCGCTGGTGTAGTTCGAGTCCAAGTTTTTATGATGCAGTGAAGGTGGTTTGGCAAGTCCATACTTGACCCTTTTTACAGTACAGTCCTGGGAATCAGTCTGCCTCATTCTTGCTCTAGTTACATTGGCTAACGTTTGAAAGGGAACAGTCACATTGCTTAACAGGGACTCACTTCTTAACTCAGGGTGAATAAAGGGGCTCTGGCTTACACTTACTGTGGATCTCTTTAATTTCCATCCATTGTCAATACCCACTTCTATGCAGGATGCTGTAGTGAACCCCAGTCCATAATCTCTTTCTGGAGGGTAGCATTCAAAAATATTATTTCCTTACAGACATGGATTAAGTATCATGTTATTAAAGTTAATAAAATAGGCAGGGATTGGATTGCTAATATTTCCTTAAAGATATCAAGAGTTTGTGAGGTTATTTTTGCCTGTGCTTCCCTCGAACAAGGCTCTAACACAACACTGCTGATGTCCATGCAGTTAATGCTTTTATAACTCCCAGTGCACCTTCTCCACTTTAAGTCACTTGGCTGTACTCCTGACTAACTGCTGAGAACTATGGAAAGTTGCCTCTCCTCTAATAATCTGCTTCTCTTTGCTTCTCTCTGTCTACCTGCTGACATGTCCGTCTTTTTCTCTCTCTCTCTCTCTCTCTCTCTCTCTCTCTCTCTCTCTCTACACATGTCTGTCTCTCTCTCTCTCTCTCTCTCGTTGCCTGCTCGCTGCTGCTGCCCTCGCTGTCCCAGGCTTGTCCCAGTTCCAGCTGCTCTGAGGTATCAGAGACTGGGCAGCTTCACAGTGACTGCAGCTCCCCCTCTTCTCTAGCTGCTGCTACTGCACCTCAGCACACTGACAAGGTGACACACACTCATCCTCCACCGTGAACCTCACCCACACAGAAACGTCTGTGCTTCCTCACACTAAACTCCAACCTTGGCTGTGCATCACACTTACTTGAGTTTATCACAGAAATGTTAAAGGAAACAAAAAAACCTTCCAAACTCCCTGGCAATAAGTTTTCACACAGTTATCCATTTGTGACCATTTTCTTTGTTCTGTATTGAAATGATCAATATGGCTTCCTCCACGGAGCTCCCAATGGTTCACCGTGTAATTTATTTTTCAGGATAACTTTTGCATTACCTTAAAATATTTTCCTTCTTCTATTCCTTCTGAGCCATATGTTATTTACACTTGTGTCCCACCACAACCCTACAGTATGGATCAGCTTATTGAATTGTACTTTGAACTGAGCATCAATTATTCTGATAGAGTTTTACCGAATAGACATAATTATACAATTAGTGAAAACAAACATCTTCAAATTCTAGGATCAAGAGGTCGCTTCAAAGAATGCAGAAAGTGATCTGAAATGATGCTGTCGGACTCATGTGGAGCCACTTACTTTGCCTTTAATGAGATAATGATGTTGCATGATGACAATGGGAGACAACATAAAACGTATTGCGAGGGAATGCAAATTTAATCCTCCAAAAAATTGCCATGACCCAAGGGTGCTCCGTACCTCCTCATTATTTTTGTGTTCATTTTTGAATGATTTCTCCTCCGTGATGTTTTGTTTTGTTGATTTATGATTTTTATCATTTCATTAATTTATCCCATTGTGTGTTTGTTTCTGTTATCATTCTTTCCTTCCACCGATACACACACATCCAGTTGTCAAATGGCTTTGACCACTACAGTCCGGCCAGTTCCCCCTACCTGCATAGCAACGGGGGGAGTTTGGGCTCTGGGTCGGCCACTGCCTTCCCGTTCTTCCCTCCCTCCTCCTCATCCTCCACCTCCTCCTCCTGCCCCACTCGCTCATGGTCCCGTCCCGCCTCAGCCTTGCTGCAAGACTACACTAACTACTGCACGATGGGCTCGCCCATGGTGCCGTCATCCCAAGTCCCAACCTGGAAGGTTTGTTCAGCGTAGTCCCATCATCCATATCCAGTGTTTGTTCGACATGCAAGGCCTGGTTCATTATGTTTTATTGTTGTGTCATGTGTGAATACATTTAATCAGTTTCCATCTTTTATACTTTAAGTAAATTTGGCAAGCTTTAAAATTGAGATGATATGAAGGTATGAAGCTTTTAAATGTTCACCAGAGAAAAACAGTAAACGTTGACGTCTTTTCTCTCAGGACTGGGCAAAGCCAGGGCCTTATGACCAGCCCATGGTCAACACACTAAGGAGGAAGAAAGACAAAGACACCCCGTCTGTAATAGACAGTAATGGTAACATGCACAGTGACAGCCAGTCCTCAGTTCTGGCCTCGACCTCAACACCAGCTCGGGCTGCGCTACAAACACCAAGCTCGTCGGTCTCGATGGTAGAGAAAAGCAGGACTGTGGCGGCTCCTCTCAAGGTCAGCGTCAGTCTCCATCTCCTACTGTTTGTCTGGGTTTGACACATCAGCTCTTAATTAACTAACTTTTCTGAATTATTTCCTCATCTATTCTTATTTAAATGTCTTTCAACATTGTTCATTTTAAATAATTAAATTAGTTAGTCTTTTTTTTGTAAGGTTTGCAATGAGCTTGTAAAACATTAAGTCACTTTGTTTGACCTGATTTATACTTGTAATACTCCTGTACTCTGCTGCAGCTGGAGGTAAATTCCCCCCAAAACAACATTTACCTCTTTCTTTCTGCCAATACCTAATCCACACAAACACAGGTCAGTCCACATGTTGTGGCAGCTGTGATAATTAAGTTTCAGATGACCTCTCATTCAACTTCCAGCAGGGTCGATGTTTTTGCCGTCGTGGCATTTAAACCACGTGAATGAGGCTCCCACCGCTAATGTTCCCATTTAATGACTCTAATAAGTTGTACCTAATGATTTTAATGGCTTTAATAAATGGAACCTGGCTTTATCCAGACTTTCAGACTCTGTCACTAAATGTTTTTTGTTTGTTTTTTCAGGCTGGTGAAATCGAGGTCCACGAGGAACTGGCCCTAGTCTTGTCCAGAGGTCTGGAGCTGGACACCCAGAGGTCCAGCAGAGACTCCATGCAGTGCTCGAGTGGCTACAGCACGCAGACCAACACACCCTGCTGCTCCGAAGACACCATACCTTCACAAGGTAGCATATGCTTTCCAGAATCAGTCCAGCATCAATTTGAAAAGTGCACTCCTAACCTCTCTGTCTTTCATCTCCCTTTAGTATCAGATTATGACTATTTCTCAATGGCTGGAGATCAGGAGCCTGAGCAGCAGCAGCCTGACTTTGACAAATCCTCCACCATCCCCAGAAACAGTGACATCAGTCAGTCCTATCGACGCATGTTCCAGACCAAACGCCCAGCCTCCACAGCCGGTCTGCCCAGCCCACAGGCTCCTTACCCTGCACAAGTGGCCTACCCCGCAGGGTCTTATCCTCCCACACCTATCCACACAGGAGCTTATCCATCTACCCCTGCAGGGCCTTATCCCCCCACCCCAACAGGTATGGCTGCACTGATCCTGTCATAAACGTATATCTACCATTTTTATATTTTTGTCCTCATCAGAGGAATACTTCAAGTCTTTTTATTTCTCCTTTCTTGTATAATATAATAAAATGTACCTCATTTTAAGTGAAATTCATTTGTTCTTGTTGTGTTATTACAGGCCCATGTCCAGGTCAGACGTTTTATTCCGGATCCAGCTCCCATAATGCCTCCGGCTCCTATCCTACTAGCCACGGACCAGTTATCGTCACCCCGGGGGTTGCCACAATCCGCCGCACCCCCTCCTCAAAACCTTCCGCTCGCCGCTCAGGCTCTCTCGTGGGTACAGGCCCCATCCCTATTCGGACACCCGTCGTCCCGGTGAAAATCCCAACGGTGCCTGATATGTCCGGAGCGGTTAACGGGAGCAGGAATGCTGAGGAGATGGGAGGAGGAGGAGAAAGCCCATACTCTCCAACATTTACAGGAGGTGAGGATGTCGACACGTTGCCTGTGATGTCATGGAGTGGTCAGGCTACGACCAACCCCCCCACCGTCCCGCTTCCCAACCAGCTGACCCAGCAGCACCTTCATAGTGAGACTGGAGGAGAGGAGGCAGGAGAAGGGGGGAAGGGAAACATGCTGGTGGCCATTCGCAAGGGGGTTAAGCTCAAGAGAACCCTCACCAATGATCGCTCCGCACCGCGCATCGCATGATGACATCATCGCAATATTTGGAAACATGAGGCTCGTAAAACTGAGGCTCCCTTTCATTATATTTGTAAATGAGTTTAAAGCTTTACAAAAAAGTGTTGCTGCTAGAGATGCAATGTACAGAAAAGATTTCTTTTGCTAGTTTGAGAAGTCACTACTCTACATTTCTCACTTTAAATTTCCATCTGTGAGAATCTCTCACTACAGAATGAGAGGAAAACATAGATATGCAAGCTGCAAGTTTCCTAATATGGCCTGAAATGCCACTGAAAATACGTAAAGCCAGGTTTTTTAAAACATAGGTTTGGACCTGAAGTGGACCACAGGCCCATTAAAGGTAGAGCCTTAGTTGAACAGTCTGTCTGTGTGAGACAAAGAGAAAAGACCTAATTTCTTACATACATCACGGAATAAATGATTCTGGCCTCAGCAATAAGATGTATTTGCAAATCCGAGCCAGTAACTGCGTAATCCGAGTGTAAAACATGAGGACGTTTTTGTTGATAGCAAGAAGCACAGAGCAGTGTCACTTCACAGCATGTTTTTGAGAAGACAGTAAAGACGTACTCGTGTTCAGTATCGTCCCTGAAGCAGAGAGTTGGACAAGGAAGATGTGTCTGCCTCTTCTCAGCGTAAAAAACACTGTCTACACACCTCTTGTTGCGGGAGCACATTGTACCACAGAGGGATGAACAAACACTCTAACTGCATAGTGTTTTGGCAGAAGAAGCACAACACCCACTGAAAGAACAACACAGCGTCAAGAGAGCAATATCCAGGTGCACTAGAGGGGTAATGGCTCCATTTGGCAACTCCTGGACAGCAGTGGCTGCTCACTTGTTTAGAGAGAGCCCTGATGGTTTTAGGAAGCTGCTGTGTTGTTAAACCCGTCCTCACCTCACAGTTCAAATACTAAAATACGTCCACAGAGCTCCACGGGGCAGAGGTACGAACAATAGAGACATCTCCTCAAAAAGCAAAGGACTCTGTCGCACCGACGTCAGTTTCAGGAGACTGCGATGTGACTAAAGCGCCACACGGGTGATGAGTCACTTTCTGTTCTTAGTTTCGTTTAGTATTAACATGATTTGTAAATAATTATATGTCTATTTCGCTGAGGAGTGTCGCTGCTTCTCACTCTGTTTCTTTGCCACATTTCCACCTGCTCCTCTGTGCCAACTTCATTCAGTTTCACATAATGTTGCTATAACGATCATCATACCCCAAATGCCTCAAGATGTGAATTGGTTTTCTTTTTCATTATCACCTCCAATATGATTCTCACTGAATTTGCAGTATCTGTGTAGCTACTCCTCAGTGGTTTGTGGTTATATATTAGTCCTTATATATTAGCCTCTTCTTGTTTTGTAGCATTTATTAGCCAAACTGCCGCCTGTGCATTGATCACTTATAACGTTACTAGTAAGGTACAGACGTGCCATGTTTAAAGTTAATGCTGATTCAAATCTAAATATATATATAAATATATATATAAATAAATATATAAATAAAGTTGGCAAAATATTTTTGATGTTATAAACCTTGTTCAAACTCTTTTCTCTTTGAAGCACATATAGCTTGCATGCATCTTCTAATTCATTTTCATGTGTCATTTAATTTTTTTGTATTGTATCAAACTTTTTTTCCTTAGAAACTCACATTAAAATCCATTGTGTAATTTAAGAGCTTCATCATAATAGGTGCATACATATTTTTTTTTTAACAATTAGATGTTTTGAGGAGCTGAGGCTTTTCCCTCAGACTTATTCAGTTTCAAGACTAAAAGCTAAAAGCATTTAGTGTCACTGACTTCTCGTCTGTGTTTTCATTTTTCTTTTCGGTTCAAGCACTGTGAGACCATGGCTACTATGACATGTATGAAAGTGTAAATAATATTTAGCTGCTCAAGTTAGTCCAGGAACTCGCACGTTTTTATTTATTTATTTTCTTTCTCAGTCTTTAAATCCTCTTTCGTCTCACTATTTTTATACTTGTTTAAAAATCAGAGCTATAGAGTTGCTCCATCTATTCATGCATGTGCTCTCTGATTTTAGCAGCAGTGACAATTCACTTGAAGTCCCTTATTTCACACCAACTCATGCATAGAGAGTAATTGAATAATGAAATACTGCAAGAAAGTGTATTTTCTTCTGAGTTGCAGGCTCTTCCAGAAAAGAAAGGTTCGGGTTCTGCAGTGGAGAGATTTGAATCAGTATTATGAGTGCAGATTTCTGGACGATGCAGGGATGCAGTTTCTATTCAAGTCAAGAAAATATCTTTTCTTCTGATCTATCTGATCTATAGATGTGTCCTGGTTGTTTCCAGTTGGGAGAGCTGAACCGAGCTGAAACTGGACTGACATCAACCCTGCTGGGAAGTTTGTTGGAAGAGACGCTCTGAGCCACTTTGAGGGTAGTTCCAATTTAAAATGTTTGCACCTCAGTTGTGTACATTTAATTTCAGTTAAAATGACATCGAACACATCTGTGTGGCATCTTATTAGATTTGAACAAATGGCACGGTGCCCACAATGTCTGGCCTATCTGGCCTCGTATGATCTGAGTTTCCTAAAGACATCTAAGCAAGAAAATCCACTATAGTATTTTCAACATGTCTCATGAGTTTAGTGTATTATTGTATATTTTAGAGAGGCTAAATAGGAGGGAAGATGACAAAAGAACAGGGGATTACTCCACAAAGCACATCTGACATTGAACATGCATGTGGAATGGTGACATCACTGCTTTCACAGCATTCAGTTCACGATATAGTTGATGATGTTAATATTCTTGTTTTTCTTTGTTTTGTTTTTTCTGGCCGTCCACTTGTCTAAAACTTGTATTGTCATCCTGTAATTTTTCATATTTAAATGCTAGCATAAATATATATTATATCAGAGCTGCCAAATGTCACTATATCCTATGAATAAGAAGTGTATAGTTTGTGAGGGTTTGAACTTTCAGTTAAACCTGGTTTCTAGTTTAGTTTTCAGCTTATTCCTCCTCACACCCAACCCCCAACCCCCATCCCTCACCTCGAGTAGAGTTGACCTCTCTCTCTCTCTCTCTCTCTCTCTCCCTCCCCCCCCTGTACAGTTCAACAGGCTATGATGCAGTTTGTTTCAGGAAGTAAAAAGATTGTTATTTGTTTTTGTGTAATGACAGCTTTAGCGTTATAATAAAAAAAATATATCAGTTGTACTTTGCCTCTGTGGCCTCTTGAATGTGCAGCCTCCATGCGTCCACGTTTCATTCAACCTTTCTTTCAAGGTTCAGTAGTTGACCCTATAATGTCTATAATGTCACCTCGAGGTTCATAAAATAGCAGTTCTGTCGTTTTTCACAGTTTCACACGGTCCACGTCGACAGAAAGGAACAATTCGTTTGTGAGTATTTTCTTTCATGCTGACTTAAATTGATAATATAACATAAGATACACTTTATTGATCCCACACTGGGGGAAATTTAATTGTTACAGCAGCAGATTTGGATAATTAAGTAAACAAGAGAATGCATGAAAATAAAGTATAGAATAAAACAGGCAATGAAATGAACTGAAATGTGATTAGTGGAGAAATATTCTTGAGTAAAGTGGAGTGGCACAGAATGATTGCACAAATATTTTACTTCATTTGTGTATCATGTATGAGGAGATATTGAAATAAACATACATATATAGACTTTATAAGTATATAGCCGCCAGGTATGGTATTTGCAAAGTAATATGAATATGAGTATACATTTTTTTGTGTTATATATAAATGGGGAAAATGTCCTAGTAATAGACTAAAAAGTAGTATACTGTATATAGTATGACTATTAAGATGAATATACAATAGGTATCATTCCACTACAGGAAATAAATATGAATATAAAAATGATAGATGCTTCACCACCTCTGATCAGGAGATAAACACAGTTTGTTTTTATTATTCTGGCCACCAGGGGTCGCCCTAGTCTTTACTATTTAAAAAAACAAACTCAGTTTCTACTTTCTGCTTGGACAGAAGCATGACTGCTCCAGTGTGAGGCTGAAAACACTCATCTACTCCTTCAGACTAAAGAAGCTGCCGCTCTCACACACAAAGAAACTGAAATAAACCAGAAAAGGTCGTAAACTTAAGGATTCACTTATGTCTAAATCAAACTGGATTTCCTCCTTTATTCGTTGTGGTCCTGACTGACTTCCCCTCTCAGACAAATAACTTCCATATGCTGTCATAGTTTCTTGGGGTGTGGACTCCAGGCTGAGGTCTGGTTGAATGAATAGCTGAGGAACACACACACACACACACACACACACACACACACCCAACAGAAAAGATACTCCTCTGATTGTAAAATAATCCTGCAGGAGATTTACCTACAGTTGAATGCACGTGTTTCCAGATTCCTCATATGTAGTAGCAGAATATAAAACATCAAATGTAAGAAACACATGAATACAATATCATTTAAAATCAAAGACCGCAAATGATATGATACAAAATCTGAAATGACAATCAACAGAACAAATAATACTTCACTTCATCTTTCTCACTCTTTACATTTGTGCTTTTAATTGTTTTGGAAGGTGCAATATAAATGACATATATTATTATAACATATTATTTTAAAGTAATGGCTAAAGAAAGAACAGAGGTGACATTGTATTTCTCATTAGAATAAAGACACATTGACAGCCTGTGTGACATGAACACATCTGACCATCAGCCCCTCTCTGCTCAACGTGGCCTGCGTGCGTCCGTTCTGTGCCGTCACAGTTACGCACGGAGCCGAGCGGAGCAGCCATTGGAAAATATCTCTCCCCTCCCATCCGCCACACACACACACACACACACACACTCACACACACACACACACACACAGCATCCTGTCAGACAGAGGTTACAGCTGCTCCGGTTTACTCTCGCAAAAATGTGATTATTTCACTTGCGCACAGAGCAGAAGCAGTTTGGTGGTTTTTCGGCTCCAGGCTCCAGCAGCTCTCAGCAGGTAAGAGGCGCAGCAGCGGCCGCATGGTGGTGTTTTGTCCGGGGGATGGTTGAGGAGCGGGACAGCGGAGCATCGACTGAGGTGCGTCCGATTAGACAAGTTACAGTTCGGGTACGAGGACTCCTGACGCATCGCTCTCCACCGTCCTCCTCCATAGAGGCGCGTGACACCAGCAGGGATCAGTGTGTGTGCAGGCGATGTGTGGTTGTTGGTGTCAGGCCCGAGGTTTGCCCTGAAATAGCCTGACCCAGGCTGAGGAAGAGGAGGAGGGGGTGTTTTCATGCGATCATTGCAGCGATGAATTCAAGCTAAATCATAATGTTCGTTGTTTGAAGTCCAGGTGATAGCCAGGCCCGATGTTCTTCTTCTTCTCCTCCAGGTTCTCCTCCACGTTGCTTCCTCTCCCTCGTCCCCGGAGATGCTGCCCTGCCTGCGGAGACTCCTGCGGCCCGCCCTCTCCCTGAGAGCCGGCGCCGGGCTCACCAGAGCCGGGCTCGACAGCCGCTATGCTCCCGCCGCGTTGTCCCCGCTCTCCGCGCTGCTGCAGCGGTGCAACCTGGGGACGCACCCGCTGAAGGAGCCCGTGGAGCCGCTCGACTCGCCCCAGGGAGCCAAGGAGTTCATCTACAGCCTGCACCCGTCCGAGCGCACCTGTCTGCTGCGAGAGCTGCACAGGTTCGAGTCCATAGCTATAGCTCAAGGTATGTGATGTGGTACACACAACACAACTACAGCATGTTCACAAATGAGCCACGTTACATTACAAACAGATTCAAGCTTCTGTCTTGCAGCCATAAGTTTAGTTTATGAATCATAAGAAATAAATCACTTATTTCAACAATTTATAAAAAGACTGAATAGTTTTTGCATCATATTGATGATGTGTTGCAGGTCCCAGACCAGTAAATGATGTAAAATCAAGGGTTTCATGGTGCAGTTCTGTCTTTCGCAGCAGGAAAACTGGTTGGAGCCTGTTTATTACGTCCCTATTAGATTGTGAAGTTACTGTAATCTCCTACGGGCAACTTTAACCTGCAGGCAACTAAAACCTGCTAAAGATGATTGGTCAAATTAGAAATGGGAACCAGAGGGAAACAGGAAGGCTTCCAGTCCCAAACTCTTGTCCCTCACCTTCTGCATATTCTGCATAATGAGCTGATACAGATTAGAGACTTAATGTCCTATCCTGACCAGTCCACTGCTTTCAACCCAGTGAGCTGCTGCTCTGCGTTTTCAGCTGCATGTTGCGATGTCGCAGCAGTTACATTTTAGACTGCAGTATGAGCAGAGCTTTTGTGTTTCATTAAACATCAGAATTGAATTATGGGAGTACAGTATAAGAGGAGGAGTACAGTAGATGTCCCACATTGGGAGATAAGAACGGGAGTCGATCAATACTGAGAGGGAGAACGGGGAGGAGGAGTGATGATGAAGGGTTTACATCATGCGAGGCTCTGGGAGAGAGATGCTGTTCTGAGATCTTTCTCTCCAGCAGTAAAACATTTTAAGTTTATGCTTTAAAACTCACTTCTCGTCATTTTTTTTCTCGTGGGTTTGTGTTTCATCGCTTTATTATCGGATATTGGATTTGAAATGAACATTGCCAAACAACACACAACCTGAAAGCCATTGAGAATATTATATATTAAGTGTCTACTGGAAACACAATCAATGCCGCTTCAGTGAAAATATCGATATGAATATCTGGTCTGTTGTCCTGAGTCCTGTGACTTGTGGGTAAAAAATAAATCTCTGTTGCTTTGTCTCAACGCAGCTTGTTTCAGCTCTGTGAGAAATATGTTTTCAGTGCTGCTGTCTTTACTTTCATATCTGGTCTCATGACGGACCGATGATTCCCTGCAGAGAAGATTTAAGATTTACAGAGAATGATCCTTTAATACCTCCATATTTCTCCATACAAACATATCGGAGCTGCCATTCTAGTGAGAATGATGTGCTCCACTCAGTCGATGAGCTGGTATAGTCAGGCTGTGCACAATGTTCTTAAATGCAGATATCAACGCACTGCTGAATGTTGAACATACGTGCATATGCTGCTCTGAATAGTGTCATGTCTGTACTGTTCCTGCTCTCTGTTCAGTGTGTGAGGCTCTGAATAATAATCATCAGACAAGGACATGCACATACATCACAGCCCAGAGTGTCACTGTTAATATCAGCGTCCCTCTGACACTGTGGCTTGAAAAGTTCCATCTGTTCGTTTGCTTTACGGGACTTTTGTTTTTCTCCTAAAACATAAATTAAAGAATAATATTCCACTTTTATTAGAGCCTGAAAGATATGGATTTTGATGGGTGATGCTGATATTAGGAACTTTCTACTACCAAACCATTATGTGGCTGTGGCTGAGGGGGTAGAGCCGTTTTCCTCCTACCAGAAGGTTGGCTGTTCCAATCCCGGCCGTGGTATCCTTTGGCAAGATGCTGAACCTCAAATATGGCCCCTTGTAAATGCTGAATGCACCAATAATAAGTCGCTTTGTATAAAAGCGTCAGCTAAATATAATGTAATATAAATGTCAAAGAGTTTTTATATTTTCACCTGAAACTTTGTTTATCAATATCTATATCTTATCTTATATATCACATAAAAACACACAAATACAACTAAATATATATAAAACATGAATCAATAAAATAAACAAGTAATTTACATAAAATATAAACAGAAATGCTCATCTTTTCTACATTGCTCATACTGTAAAATAAACATTATATGTATTTTGGACATAAATGTTGATGCTAATGTCTGTGAAAGGCTCATTTTGGCATGTAATTATCAACCAGCCGATAAATCAGTCGGGCTCCGAATGTAGATGGATGTTTCCGGAGATTCAGCCTCATCTCGTGTCAGAGCAATAAATATAAGTGAAGAACGGGAGCATGCTGCTGTCAGCTGTGATGGACCCATACATTATTGATCAGGCCATAGAGGTCACAGCTCTCTCCATGTAAACAAAAATAACCCAGTTATATTAACCGTCACCGTGGCAGTGAACTGCTGAACGCCATCTTCACCAACTTCAGGTTGATCTTGGGGCTTGAAGAAGAGTTGGGCAGGTTCTTGATCAGTCTGTTGGTGAGGGCATTTTGTCCTCCAGTGGTTTATCCCTAGATGATGATGGTGTACTTCATGATTTCAGATGTGGGTGCTCAAAGTTCGGAGACATAAAAAAAAAAAAGAGTCTGCGAGAGTCTGAGAGAGACGCTGTGATTAAATGGGAAGAAAGTTTGAAAAAGAGAAGGTTGCAGCAGCGAACATCAACTACTTTATTCCTCAAAAAAAATTCTCTCACTCATATTTGACAAATTCACCAGTGAACTCTCAAAGGAGACATATAATGCTCATATTCTGGTTCCTAAATATAATTTGCGTTATTGCTTGAAAAGGTTTTCATGCTCTAATGTTCAGAAAACACATCCCTTTCCTCATAGTGACTATTGCTGCAGCTCGAATGTCAGCCACCACTGAAGCTCCATACTTCTTTAAATTCAGAATTACAGCGAATTAGAATAATGTGAGGGGGTGCACTGAAGTGACTGTATGCAGAGGACGTATACTATCCTCTGCTCTCACCTATGGGGCCTGCCTGGCTGCAGCTTGCGGGCATCCTCACCTTCATGCTATAAAAACCCTCAGGGATTCTCTTACCTCCTGTGTATGTGCTGCGGTCGAGCTGAGTCAGTCACTGCTGACCTGGTTCACACACTCGCTGACTGAGAGGTAGATTTTTTTTTTGACAGGCTCACTAGCGTCCATCATCTTTCCACAGTCTGCCGGACACCTGAAGCCAAATCCGTACTTTCTTGACGGTCATATGCAGGTTGGCTGAGTGGTAAAGAAGCATCCAGTATATCAGCACTGGACACTTCTCTGAGGTTAATGGTGTGTGCTGCAGTGCTGTCTGTGAGGGACGGTTGGGGCCATTTCTACTGAACACATTCAGCCTCCTTGCCGTGCTCCATTGTGCTGTTAAATGAAAATCACATTTTATATTAAGAAGAGAAATTAAGCCTGAAACTTTATTCTCCTTTAAGAAACCCAAAGGCAGTAATATTCTCCCTTTTAAACCTGAATTAATCAACTATTTGTTAGTTTATAGTCCGCGCAACAAGCCGTAAACTCAACACTGACATATCATTTCTCTATAAAATGTATATAATGCATGGTTTAGTGAATAGTTGTCTATTGTGGCCTGCACGGGTTGACTGTATATAAAGATGGACGACATGACAGCTCCCCAAAAATAAAGCCAAATCATCTTGATCGCCTCCTGGTCGCTGGCCGCACCTCCTTTAGTGGAAGGCTGGCTCAAACTAAAAACGCTAATAAATTTGTCTAGTAGATGGTTTCTGTCATTTTGTGTAGTTCTTATCATGCTCATATATGTTCCAGTGTTTAAAGTATAATATTTGACACTATAAAAACAAATTGACGGATGTGATTGGTCAAGACAGGATCTTTTAGCTTAGTTTTAGAAGTGGAGAGATGTGTCATCCATCTTTATATACAGCTCATGATGCACACGGAACAGCGCCAGCATTCATTTTGAGGTTGTGTCTCGGGTGACATCACACAAAATCTCCTTTGAGCTCTGTTTTAGTTCTCCTCCACCTCCTGAGTGAATTACCTGACTGCCTGATGTTCCTCGTTGTTCACCAGTTAGTCTCTGAGATTGTCTGTGTGCCATTTGGTGCCCCTGGTAGTGCACACAATGGATTTATCAGAACTTATTCTCCTGAAAATAGCTGCCTGCTGTGGCAAAAAAAAAAAAAATCAATCCCGATGATGAGAGCAGTCAGAGTGAACCAGAAGATTAAAGATGAAGCTGTGGGCAGAAAAACTCCAACAATGAGCTGATGCCGATCGCTGCACAGAGCTAGAGAAAACAGCAGAGTTGGAGGATTTTCAAAAATATTTATCATCACAAGGGATCTTTTCATACATCCCATAGTTCTCTGACTCATATGGGCAGAGTTGGATAATTGATGCATTTTTATGCAAACCAAAGGTGCCAAATGTGGCCCCAATTAGTTTTTTGCTATTCAGGCCGTATTCACCATTCACCACAATCAACTTTAGGGTCGCATCCATTTTGTTCGAGCCACAGGACAGAAGTGCTGCATCACTGCCTGAGGTGGCCCACATCTGGGCTGCTGTTCTTTGGAAGCGTCTGAGGTTAACTTGACTTCAGGTCCTGCATCCAGCCAGGTTTCCATTTGTAAGTGGTGGTTGTAACTATTCTTGTCTTAATGATTTGGTCAAACAGTACAATATTTGATCAATGGTAAATCAGTGCAATGGTGAGCTGTTGCCTGTTTGTCTTTATCCAGTTCCTGTGTCTGAACTTCCATTTCTTCAGCTTTTTAGTGGTCGAGGGGGGAAGCAATTTCTAACGAAGGTCCTGCACAAGAACACCCTCGTTTCTGAGGCTTGTGCAAATGCAGCCTTGACCCATTTCAGAGATTTAAGGACTGGGTAGAAAGGACAAGACATGAGAGGCGATGTCGTAAATTTTTAAGGAAACAAGGTTAAAGGCTGAAGATACAGTATATTTAAGAGAGTAAACAGGAGGGAAAGAAAGGATGGAGAGGGGAGAAGTTAAAACACAGGGAGCTGCTCTTTAATGAGACTGGTGCAGAATGACTCAGGCATTGTAATATGTATATCAATACCTGTT